GATCTTGGTTTTTTAATACATTCTCTTTATGTAGCTTGACTAGCACATTTAATACAATTACGTTCAATGTAATTATTAACAGGTATGAACGGATTATGGCCATTTTTCGGGTTGGTTTTTATGTGTGTGTGTGTGTGGTGCTGCTGAGTTCTTGGTTCCACAATTTTCTATGCTGAATTCACATTGTCGGTTTTCTTTGCATTTTCATTTCTGTTGTGTTTACTAAATCTTTTTGATTTTCCTCTTAAAAAAAATTTTTTTTTTTGATGTACAGGTATATTATATTTCTTTGAGATTACCCTGTAATTTATTATTTTTTTTCCCCCTGCTTAAAGCAGTCTGTTTTATCTTGAAATCTGTTTGACTTCCTTGCCATTAGGAAGTTTTGTATTTCCTCTTTTTGCCTTGTAGTAGACTTCATTATACATTGTTATCTCCGATTCCCTATTGTCAGTCTTGCATGTTTGTTTTACTTTAAATACTTCTATATCTGGATGGATTTCTGGGTGGTGCTGTCATGTGTTGTAATTTCAAGTAGTTATATGCTGTTGTTGATTCTCATTCCAAAGAACACCCATTAGCATTTTTTGTAAAATTGTTCTGGTCATTATAAATTCCTTTAATTTCTGGATATGTCAGGAAATGTCCTAATTTTGCTGTCATATTTGAGGGACAGCTTTGCTGGGTATATGATTCTTGGTCAACAATCCTTTTCTTTCAGAGTTTTGTATGTGTCATTTCATTGTCTCCTTGTCTGCAAGGTTTCTTTTGAGAAATCAGAGTTTAGTCTGATTGGCGCTCCTTTGTAGGCAATTTTTCATTTTTTCCGAGTTGCTCTCAGGATTTTTTCCTTGTTTTTGATTTTGGAAAGTTTGATTATGTCCTGGTGATTTTCTTTGGGGAATCTATCCTGTTTGGGGTTCCTTCAGCTTCTCGTCATCCATGTCTTTCATGATGTTAGGGAAGTTTTCTTCCAGCAACTCTTTGACACTTTTCTCTGTGTTTATTTCTTTCTGTCCTAGAATTCTAATCACCCAAAAAGTTGTTCCTCTTCATGGTGTCTCACATAACTCTTAGGCTTTCTTTGGATTTTTTCATTATTTCTTCTGATTGTTCTAGCATACCAGTATTGAGAGATTTATCTTCAAACTTACTAATTAAGGCTTCTAGTGCTTCTTCATATCTGCTCCTTTGCCCTTTCAATGTAAACTCTTCTTGTATTATCTTTGCTTTTCTCAATCTTTCTATCGATCCTTTGAAGGTATCTAAATATCATTCTTTGGAATTTTTTCAGTTAGTTCCATTACCTTTTCTTCCTCAGAATCATTTTCTGGCTCTGCTTTTTGCTCATTTGTTGCTCATTGAGCCACTTTCTCATTTCTTCATGTGAGTTAAAATTATTATTGTAGGGTTGTCATGTTTGTAAAAATAAACAGTGCAATTGTTGGTTCCGGGGGTGGGGGGAAGAAGTCTCTGGGGGGCTCCTGCAATTCAGAGAGCTCATGAGGTGGTTATGGAATTGCTGTAAGAGCAGAGTCCTGGCCATAGATGGAGTTCCTACTGGTCTCAGTGTTATCTACATTCAAGGCACCAGTCTGGAAGAAGTTTGTGGGAACCTTTGATGAAACTGGTTTCGATGTCTGTTAGGAGAACAGTAAAGCTGTGGACACTGTGACTGGTTAAATGCTGGTCTGGTGGCTGCATAGGCTTTGTAGGTCTGAAGCCAAGCCCACCTGAATCCAGGCATCAAAGCAGCACATCAAAGTGGTACAGCCGGCACCCCCTCACACTAGGGTGGTTCCAAACTTCTGGAAAGCAGGGTCTGTTCTGGAGGTGGATGAGAGTGAGAGCTGGTCACACTTCTGGTCACCAGGGGAGCATGGGGAAAAAGAAATTGCATCTTTTCCGTTGCCCACATGAATTTGCTGAGCCACATTTGGCCAGCCATTCACAATTCAGTCTCTCTCTTTGCCATCCCTGCTCGGCCTCTCCCCCCAGCAAGCACTCCATCCACATCTTTAACCTTTTTTCTGAAGTTCAGGGTGCAGAATGTCCATCTGTGTTTTGTTTCTTATATCTTTGTTGTAGAGGGTCTGACCCTAGTCCACCTGTTTTGTTTGTTCTTCTGGCAGTCCGTGGTACTTTCAGTATTTTTGCCAAAACTCTAATTCAAATGCATTGATTATTCTATGCGCTTTATTCATTGTCCAATTTACACATGCATATGAGGTGACTCAAAATACCACAGCTTGGGTAAAGCGCACCTTAGTCTTCAAAGTGACGTCTTTGCCCTTTAACACTTTATAGGGGTCCTTTGCAGCAGATTTGTCTACTACTTGTATAAATTTCAAGGTATGGTCCTCCCATCAGGACCTGGCACTGACTAATCCCCTCAGTCATGGAACTTGCATAATCCCAGCCAATCATTTTGTGGGAGTTACAAAACCATAGCTAGAAAGGCCATTAAAAATATGCATTCATTATAACACAAATGGTTTCATGTGGATTTTAGAATAAAACCTCCTGTCCGTAACAGAGTCTGAAAAACACCTGCACAATCTGACTCTCCTGTCTTCTTAAGCTAACTGAATACTTATTTGGTTGGTATTCAGAATGCTTACTTGAGTTACTTACCATGGACTGCCTGAACACACAAATCTGTGTTATAAGAAGTATGACAGCCAGAATGTTTCTTAGAAGCCAGGGTGGTGAGACTTCATCTCTCATACTTCTGACATGTTTCAGGAGAGTCCAGTCCCTGGAGAAGGACATCATGCTTGATAAAGTGGAGGGTCAGCAAAAAAAAAAATAATAATAATAGGAAAACCTCCAACAACATGGATTGGCACAGTGGCAGCAGCAATGGGCTCAAGCTTAACAACAACTGTCAAGATGACACAGGACTGGCCAGTGTTTCGTTCTGTTGTGTACCTAAGAACAGCAACAACATGCTTTCCAGTACTCTGACATCTTAATTCCTCAACTTTCTGAACTTTCTAATGCTAGAGATCCTTTAGCTATGCTGCTCTCTCTGCTTGTTCCTGGTTTTTGCATGTCTGGTTGCCTCAGGTTTCAGGCTAATCAAACCTTGACTTTCCTTGACCATCATTCTAAACTAAATTACTCCTATTAGTCTCGTTACCCTTTTTATTCACTTAACAGAGTGTGTGCATGCATGTATTTATATTAGTGACACAGTGCCTGTTTCTTGAATGAATGACTTACAGAACTTCCTCCCAATAGATTGTAGACAAGATAGCTTTTTTAAAGCAACGTATTTATTAATTTCTTCATCAAGTGTTTATTGATTGCTGGTGTTTCACTGAATTCCAAGAGCTCAGAAAATAGTGGGAGAGGCAGCCAAGCACGAAAACAACTGAAATTGTGTGTTACATGTTTTTCTTGAGACATAGAGAGCATATTATGAAACATCTAACTCTGCCAGGAATATATGAGAATGTTTTCAAGAGAAGATAACTTAAATTTTTGTGAAGCAATTTACTATTGTTGTTAAGGTACCATCAAGTTGTCTCTATCACCAGAGCCATATTTTCCAACTACCAATATCTCTTCTTTGTGCCCAACTTTTGCATTCTGATCACTAGTAATTATCATTGCATCTTGCTTGCATGTTTGATCAATTTAAGACTGAAGAAGTTGGAAGAATTTTTCAAGTTTATTCATCATTGGCTTTGCTGGTTGGTGCATAAATTTGAATATTTAACTTTGTAGGTATACAGATATTATCCTATCACAGCTTTGTAACTTAATATAGATCTTGAAATGTTCTTTTTGACAATGAATGTGATGTCATTCCTTCTGAATGTGTCATTCCTGTGCACTGACCCTCCTCGACCTAGGGACAGCAAGCTGTAGTACCAGAGGAGTGGCAGAGGAGCAGCAGCCAAATCAAGACCATCTTACCAAGCATGATATCCTTCCTTCTCCAGCGACTGTTCCCTCCTGACAATATGTTCAAAGTATGAGAGACGAAGTTTAGCCATCTTGGCCTCCAAGGAGCATACTGGCTGCACTACAGATCTATTGGTTCTTTTGGCAGTCCATGGCACTTTTAGTATTCTCCTCCAACACCACAACTCATCTCCTGGTGCCTATCTTACTACAATGGCAAATGGTCATTTGATAAATGTTCTTTTAAACTTTAAAGACAATTTGTAAAAGCAGGTAGAATCAGTCTCAAGAAATGGGCTGTATGTCATTTTCGTCCCTTGCTTTATAAACTTCCAAGTCTTCCTTAGAAATTTACCTCAAATGTTACTTTTTTCCCTATAGCCTTCTGTTTCATCGAAGTAGTTAATAACCATATTCTCAATAGTTATGTGTACACCTCTCAAACCATTTTATACTATGCTCCTTAGTCGTCTTCTAGACTGTGAGCTCCTTCTGGGTTAGGGCCATTTCTTATTACATGTAACAAAGTGTTTGAGACAGGTATTCAATAAAAGTTTGATGAATGAACATGTAAATATATAGGAGACACTCTAAGTTATTATGGGCTTTTAATATATGTTATTTCCTACTTCCTTCTCTTATTTGGTAGTCCTGGTGTGGTGCTGTAGGATAAGTACTGGACTACTAACCGTAAGATTGGCAGTTCAAACCCACCAGCTGCTCCTCAGAAACCCTACACAGGGTCAGTATGAGTTGGAACCGACTTGACCGCACTTAACATCTCTTACTTGGGGTTAACACTGGTAGTGCTGTGGGGTAAGCACTGGCTGCAAAACACAGTGTTGGTGGTTCAAACCAACCAGCTATTCCACTTGAGGCCGCCAAATTATTTTCTATGTACAACAAGGAAAGAAAGACGAAATTTAGCATTTATTGAATTACTGAGTATTTACTGAGTGCCTGCTACATACCAGGCTGAAGGGATAGAAACAAGTTGCCTGTCCAGAGTGAGTGTGAACTCTTCCAGTTCTTAAGTCTTCATCATAAAAAATCAATTCAGCTGATTTTAACAGCTGTCCATTCACTGGTCATTCTTCAAGCACAGTCTTCTCCAGAGTACTTTCAAATACTGCATAATGCTGCAGACCAGTAAAGCTTCCAATGATCATTTGAAAGACAAGAGGAATTGCCATTGCTTTCACCTCCGTTTGACAAAGCAGCAGCCAATGGAGTAAAACCCGTCCTTTTGGTGGAAGTGGAACAGTATGATATCTAAAAAGGAAATGACTGTATCACTTTTCCTGTACATACGTGCTACAAAAAGTTCACTGATACTCATAAATTGATTAGTAATTTCCATCCTAGGTTTAGCATGTTGTTGTTGTTGTTAAGTGCCGTCGAGTCAGTTCCGACCCATAGCGAACCTGTACAGGGTTTCCGAGGCTGTAAATCTTTACGGGAGCAAAAAGCCTCATCTTTCTCCCGCGGAACAGCTGGTAGTTTCGAACTGCTGACCTTGCGGTTCACAGCCTGATTCGTAACCACTACACTACATGTAAGCAGTAAAAAAGTTTATTGAAATATATCTTGGGTGGTTAGATAATAAGAGTTCAGTGACCTAAGAAAAAGGAAAGAAGAAGGTAAGGGAGAGAAGAAAGGTGGCAGAAAAGGAGGTGAAAAGGAAGAGGATACAGGAGGGAAAGAGGTAGTCGGCCATGTGACAGGAGGGCCATGTGACAGGAGGGCACGGGGAAGAGAGAAGAGAGCATGAATGGCAGACTTACTTGACTGCCAGACGTCCATTTTTAGAAAAAGCCAAAGCACTGGGATATAAAACACCGCACACTAAGCCAATCAGTGAGCTTCTCACAACACAATTCTCCCGGCTTATATTACCTAAAAAACAAAAATAAGTTTGGTCTTTTAAAACTCAGGTTAAGAATTACAATTGCACTCTTGTGCTGCATATCCTAAGTTATCTGCACAGTTCTTCACCCCTGTGAAACAGCAGAGAAAATTGGAAATTTAAAGTCTGTGACACAGTATAGGCTAAATACATCAAAATTTTAATATGCTTTCAAGCTTTGATATATTTGGTTGTTGCGGAAGCAATTTGATCAAAGGTCACAGTTTCCACCAATTACTGGTGGAGAAACACAAGAAGGAGACCAAACCCAAAACTCAATCTACAGCCTTCAAGTTGATTCCAACTCATAGTGACCCAGTAGGATAGAGTAGAGCTGCTCTGTTGGGTTTCAAAGACTTTAAATCTTTATGGCCCCACCCCCTCGGTACACAGGGTAGACAAGAATGGGCAACTTAGGCATTGGCTACCCAAAATGGGGGTGCTACAAAGGCAGGAAGTGACTGGTTTACAAGCTTTCTAGAGGGAGCCTATATCCAGAGGGTGTGGGGGAAGGCAAAATCTCCACTGAGTGGTATCCAGTCTGTCTGGGTGGGGCTGATGAAAGGAGATGGAGATAGGGCTGTTAGGGTACAATAGGGAATAACTGCTATCAGGACTGACTGTGAGGGTTGGAAATGTAAAGGTAGACATTTTGTCACAAAAGAAGGGGAGTGGTTGACAGTACAGTCCAGGAGCAGAGATCTCTGGGACCATCAAGGGAGAAGCAGTGATGCCAGAGATGGAGGCAGAAATGATGACGTGGAGAGATGGAGTGGCTGGGGACTCTAGACCCTGAGAGGGAAGGGGGCTGTGCTGATGACTGAGGGGCAGGCTTGCGGGGTACCCTTTGGTTGTTTGATGATGCGTGGAGGGGACTGTAATCATGGCAATGAAATGATATATGATATGATGAATGTAAAGCTAATGTTCTCTCATGTAAACTATCACATAAAAACTTAAAAAAAAAACAAAAAAACTTTATGGGAGCAGAAAGTCTCATCTTTCTCCAATAGAGTGGCTTGAATTGCCAACCTTGTGGTTTGAAGCCAATGCTTAATCCATAGTGCCAACAGGGCTTCCCTAAATTAGATAGGGAGGTAGAAATAACATTTATTAGAAGTCCATACTGTAACAGATACTGTATTACACATTTAATTTACAGAATCTCCTAGTTCTTCAATACTGTGAATTAGTTCCATTAATTTTAATTCCAAGATAAGGCAAGTGAGGCTCAGAGATTAAGTGACTTGCCTAATGTCACAAAACTTAAGTGATGGAAAGTTGGATCAGAAATCCTGTGTAGGAGTCCAAAGCCTGTTCTTTTCCCATTTATAAGCAAAAAAAAGTCTCTGATAGCGTAGTGGTTATGAATTGGACTGTGAACCGCAAGGTCAGCAGTTCGAAACTACCAGCTGTTCCGCGGGAGAATGATGAGGCTTTCTGATCCCATAAAGATTTACAGCCTCGGAAACCCTGTACAGGGTCGCTATGAGTTGGAATTGACTCCATGGCACTTAATAACAACAACACTACAGGCCCAGTGTATACATGTACAGGTTTATTCCAAACTACAGACAAGTTCTCTCAGTAATACATCTGTCTTAGTCTTGTTGTTGCTAAATGCCGTTGAGCAGTCCAATCATGACCGTGGATTCCAAAGGGATCTGCTGGGCCAGTTACATTCAAGCACAGGTCAATTCAGAAGGTTAAGGCAACTGTTTTAGAGAACTGCAAAGTACCCTCAATAGATTTTCTTAAGGGACACAGGATGATCATAGAGGTCATTAGAAGTTTTAGAAAACTGATAACTACATTGGTGAGAAAAAGGCCAAGAAAGTAGCAATGAGGAATTTTTTGCCATCATGAGAATGCACCTACTCATTTTTTGAGGGTTAACAACAGCTATCTTATGAGAGTTTCATTGGGAAACCTTATCCCATCCTTCCCACAGCCCTGATCTTGTTCCTTCAGCTTCTTCCCAAACTCAAAAACATTGAAAGGGACACGATCTGAGTCCCTCAAGGATGCCCAGAGTGCTGTTCTAATGTGTTGCAAACCAAAGAGCACGGAATATTTCAGGGAAAGGGTGTTGTTGGTGGTTGTATGCTGTAGAGTCAGTTTCAATTCATAGCCACCCTACATAGTTTCCGAGGCTGTAACTCTTTACCAGAGCAGAAAGCCTCATCTTTCTCCTGTGGAATGGCTGGTAGTTTCAAACTGCTGACCTTGTTAACAGTCCAACTCGTAACCAGTACACTACCAGAAAGGTGAAAGCAACACCTTTAGATGTGTATAGACATAGATGGAAGATATGTTAAGAAACAATATCTTCACATTTTGCTATTTTTGTTTATAAAGATTTCTATGATTTTGGAGCAAAACATTTTTTTTTTTAATCAGTATATAATTATATATTTTACTTTTAATTCAAATGATCAAAGCCAAGGAGGTTAAAGCACAATTAAAAACTTGACCACCACCTTATTTTCACTATTTCAACACATTTAAACAGCTTTACCCTTACCAATTCACTGCAAGCAGTGACCTAGACACTTGAGACAATAATAACATTAGATAAATTTTTTCTTTTTCCTAGGATAATAAGAAACAATTAACTGATGTGTTGAAGATAGTACTTAAGGCCATTCACCTCTGGTTATGGCCTCTGCACTGAAAATATGTAGGTTTTCTTTTTTGTTTTCCAAATAACATTAAAATCTTCCCACATTCTTGATCTGTTTAAAGATTTTCATCTTTGAAATAATTTGAGTTTACAAAAAAAAAACTGATTCAAAAGCCCCTATTATCAACAGGTGAAGGAGGTGCCATAAAGATATTCTACTGTCAAGTTGCTTGATTTTCATATGATAGTAATATGGAACCACCTTAAAAATAGAACAGAACATTTCATTACATGACTATTCCATCAACACAGCAACATCCCTTCATGATGAGTGTAACAGCCATTTCCACAGACTGGCAGGGGATTCTTCTGCTAAGGCTCCCATGGTTTCCACAGCATCAGTTTTGTCACTAGACTTAGTTCATGTTCAGCCTGAAAAGTCACTTCCTCAATTTGTCCACCCTGAGGTTGACAAGTTGTTTAACCTCTGGTTCTGCGTTAACCATATTTAGTATTCCATTTGTAATCTCTTTAGTATACTTTCTATATGCTGCCATTTTAGGTATTTTCTTGAGAACATCAAGGATCTTTGTGTATACTATTCCTGATCTCTCGTGTGGACTATGATATACAGCCAAACCCACCAGGCCAGTTGGTCTTCTTCAACAGCCCCACCATGATCACACTCTGAAGCAATACTTTTTTGAATTACCCTTGTATTATGCTGAATTTTAGTATATTGGAACATGTTTGCTTAATTATTAAAAAACAAAACAAAACAAATCTGTGAAAAATAGACACCAGTATTTGTCTTAATCAGAAGGATTACTAGTGTGGCGCTGTAGGATAAACACTCAACCACAAGGTTGGTTTAAGCCACAAGGTCGGTGGTTTTAATTTGCCAGCTGCTCCTCGGAAACCCAATACAGGGTCACTATGAGTTGAAACTGACTAGACGGCACTTAACAACAACATATGTGAAGATACTCTCTAAGAGGTAAAGCAGTATATAAATGTGAAGCATTATTATGCACATTAGGGATAGTTAAGAATAAAACTTGCAAACGTCCACTGCTAACCATAAGGTCATTGGCTCAAACCCAGCAGCCACTCCCCGGAAACCCTGTACAGGGATGGCACTTAACAACAACAATAGAGAGGATAAAAAAGTGGTAACAATGCACCATGTAAAAGGGGGAAATTTTGTAAGACTCAGACAAATGATGCAGACCCAATGAGTTCTAACTCTCACAGGTTTCACTATAGTAATAAGTAACTTTACTTAAACATAACCTCATTAAACATCAGTGAAGTTAAATTTACCTGAATACAAAGCATCCGTTACAAAGAGTTTGTAAGTAACTACAGTAGATAAAAATGGAAGTGCAGTCAATGATGTATACGTCTTCAAAGCATCATGCTTAACCTTGAAGCAGTATCTGAAAATGAAGTTTGCCAGTATTCCAGAAAAACCAGCTGTTGATCCAAGGAATACTGATCCATATATATTTAAAGTTCTACTAGGGGGGAAAAAACACAAAAATTAAATTCATTGTATTATTTCTTCTAATGGATGTATCTTTTCCTTGGTCATTTATTACATATTTATTCAATATCAAGTATTTCTTAAGCACTTACTATGTAAATAGTACTTTTTAAGTGCTGAGGATCGGGCAGTGAACAAAAGTAGAAAAAACAAATCCTGCCTTCATGGAACTTGTATTCTAATGAGATGATAGGATTCTCTTTCTGAGATTATTTACGGTCATTCTGAAATGGTGCTTTTTTTAAAGATACATTTTGGTCAGTACATTGGTGATTTAATAATAAAATTCTCATCGTACGTGTAGGTGATTCAGGATGGATTTGCACCCAGTGCCCTTCATGTATAGCCACTACCTGTCACTGGAGGTCTGTGTTGCTATGATGAACAGCTTTCAGCAGAGCTTCCAGACTAAGATAAATTAGGAAGAAAACCTTGGTGATCCATTTCTGAAAACCAGCCAATGAAAGGCCTACGGAACACCATATCTGATCTGCAGTCAGGTGTAGGACTGGGCAGCATCTTATTCAGGTGTGCATGAAGCCACCAGGAGCCAGGGGCTGAATCCACAGCAGCTAACAACTTTTGGCCACAAGTCATATAAGTACGTTCTGCTGCTGTTTTAATTACTGAGTTGATGCTGACTCACAGTGACCCCGTGTGTTGTAAGCAGAACTGCTGCTCTACATGGCTTTCCTGACTCTCATCTGTATGGAAACAGACCACCAGGCTTTTCTTCCATGGCACTGCTGCAGGGATTTGAACCATCACCATGGAAGTTAGTAGCCAAGTGCAAACCATCTGCACAACCCAGGGATCTCAATAAGTTCTTATATAGCCAACTTTTCTTTGATGCTTAAAACAAAGACCGCTGTTCCTATTATTGATATAATTAATTTGCTTAATGTCATCTGAAAAAACCTGTTTACATTTGGGTAGGTCTTCTGTACAATTCCCGGTGGGGCTCTGTAGGATAAACACTGGACTGTGAACCATAAAATCAGTGGTTCAAATCCCCCAACTATTCCTCAGAAACCCTATACAGGGTCGCTGAGTCGGAATCAACTCTTCAAAAATACCAATAGGCTTTCTGTAAAAGAGCTATTTCTTAATAAATCTAGATACATTTAAAATAAATTGTTCAGGATTTCTAAAACTTCATTCAAAGACACTGATAGACCTGCTTGTACTTACTCTGATTCATACTTAAATCCAGAAACTTCTAAGGTTTAATATCAATTGTCATTTGATTTTTTTTCTTGAGCTTTATTAATATAAAAGTTAAAGTGATATGAGACTATATGTTCACCATGGAATCTGTATTCATTTTTTGCTGTACTCAGTACTTAGGTAGAGGTGATCAATCCTGGACTGATTCTAATGAATTACAATTGATAAATATTAATACCCCCAAAATAATTTTCTGCTAGTTGCTTTTAATTAAAAATACTTATTGTTTAAATAATACCTCAACAAATTAGGAGGGGGGGGTAATTTTTTAAGAAGCAAGAGAAATTATTGACAATTCTAAAATTCCAACAAATCACTATTTTTCCTTATCTGTTTCCCTTCAGTCTTGTTTTTTAAAAAATAATAATTTTCTTCATAGTCATTGAGTGAAGTTAATAGAATCTTAGATACACCTCAGGAACAAGAGTAAGATAGCAGATCTGTAAATAGCTAATGATTTTCAGTCTGGGGGGTGTCTCTTACTTTTCTTTTCTAAGATATTCAATTTTTTTTTCTATAATTTCAATGACCGCTGGCCTTCTGAATTTTGCATCTTCTAGAAAAGAATTGGGCTGACCATGAGTATATGTTGCCATCTTGATGTCCTGGAAAACACAACATTCCAAAACCATAATAGCACATGATATTAGTATTAATAAGAAAAAAAAACATACATTTTTCAGATTCCAATTAAAAAACATTTTAGAGTCTAGTAACATGACTGGTCCCATATCATCTGTTTTCACATACCTATGTTAATGATGCAATCAACATTTAGAGCTCTTATTAGCTGCCAGACAATGGCTTGTTTTCAATCATATAATCTTGACAAATTGGTAGGATAATGGTCCTCTCTTTTACAGATGAGAAAACTGAGGTACCGAAAGGTTAACTTGCATTGGGACTTAGTGTAGAAGGATAATTTAAGGAGATACTGGTATTGTTTTCTTATATTTTGCTCCTTATTTCCCTTCTCCCTGTTCCAAAAAGGTAGCCAGTTCTTCCTGCTCCAGCATTTCAGGTGGAGGGGATGACAAAGTGGAAACCAGTAGCTGCTTGTTGACAACTGTCTCTATCCTCTGACTCTCATGAACATGAGCTCATATTAGAGATTATGTTGAATTTCCTAGAGAGGCAGGAGAGAGCAGGGACTGTCTTGGAGAGTGATGAGAGAAAATCAGAAAACGGAATCGTGCACAGGATGGGAATGTGATCACGGCTACATCAGATTACAGAGCTGTACATCCAGTAGCCTCAGAGCACCTGGGACAGAAGCAGCACCCTTGCAGGAAACAAAGTCATGTGGCAGACCAGAACCTGGACCCGTGGCACTGGGATCCGGAGTTTGAAGTTCCTGTGCCTCATATTTGATATTTGAATAGACAATTGTCAACATTAGGAGACCATGAGGACTTGGTAAGTAGCATTTTAACGTTAAAAAAAAAAAAAAAAAAAAAGCCTCAGAAAGCTTTATGAATGTTCTATTCTAGGGTACAGACTCTGGGTCCACTGTGAAAAATTGTAATAATGTTGTTGTTGTTGTTGTTAAGTGCCGCTGAGTTGGTTCTGACTCATAGCAATCCTGTATAGAGTTTCCAAGGAGTGGATGGTGGGTTTGAAATGCCAACCTTGCAATTCAAACTGACCTTGAGGTTGAGTGCTTATCCTACAGTGCCACACATCTATTAAATCTTCTACTACTCAGGCATTATGGGGTTCAAGAGTTGTGTTTAATTTCATTTAAATAAAGAAACATGACAACTCTTGCAAATCCTAACTTAAGGTTGTAAATGTTTACACAGTACCTCAGTAAGTGGAAAGTCTCTATTGATGTAAAATTCAATGCTTTTTCTTTCCGATTAGCCAATGAATAGATAAAAATGTATGTATGGCCTTTCAGAAATTCACACAATTTCTATTTTAACAATTTTAATAATCAAGGGTATATTGTTGTTGTTGCTGTTAGGTGCCGGCCAATCAGTTCCGACTCCTAGAGACCCTATGCATAACAGAACGAAACACTGCCTAGTCCTGGGTCATCCTCACAACTGTTGTTATGCTTGAGCCCACTGCTGCTGCCACAATGTCAATCCATCTCATTGGGGGTCTTCTTTTTCACTGCCCTTGTACTCTACCAAGAATGATGTCCTTCTCCAGGGACTGGTCCCTCCTCATAATATGTCTAAAGTATGAGAGGTGTCTTGCCAGCCTCGGATTTAAGGAACATTCTGGCTGTACTTCTAACACAGATTTGTTTGTTCTTCTGGCAGTCCAAGATACTTGCAATATTCTTCTCCAACATCATAACTCAAATGCATCAATTCTATGGTCTTCCTTATTCACTGTCCAACTTTCACATGTATATGAGGTTGTTGAAAATACCATGGCTTGGAGCAGGTGCACCTTAGTCCTCAAACTGGCATCTTTGCTTTTGAACACTTTAAAAGGTGTTGTTCAGCAGGTTTGCCTAGTGCAATATATGTCATTTGATTTCTTGACTGCTGTTTCCATGAGTGTTGATTGTGGATCCAAATAAAATGAAGTCTTTGACAACATCAATATTTTCTCCATTTATCATGATATTATTTATTGGTCCAGATGTGAGGATTTTTGTTTTCTTTATATTGAGGTGCAACCCATACTGACAGCGGTGGTCTTTGATCTTCAAAAGTATTTTAAGTCCTCTTTGTTTTCAGCAAGCAAGGTTGTATCATCTGCATATCGCAGGCTGTTAATGAGTCTTCCTCCAACCCTGATTCCATGTTCTTCTTCATATAGTCCAGCATCTCAGATTATGTGCTTAGTATACAATATGAGTAAGTATGGTGAAAGAATAGTCCTGACACACATCTTTCCTGATTTTAAACCATTCAGTATCCCCTTGTCTGTTCTAATGACTGCCTCTTGGTCTATGTACAGGTTCCTTATGAGCCCAATTAAGTGTTCTGGAATACCCGTTCTTTGCAATTATTCGTTAACTTGTCACTGATCTAAACAGTCAAAAAGTCTTTATGTAGTCAATAAAGCACAAGTAAACATCTTTCTGATATTTTCTGCTTTCAGCTAAAATCCATTTAAAGTTAACAATGATATCACTAGATCCACATCTTCTAAACCAAGCTTGAATTTTTGGCAGTTCCCTGTCTATGTAATGTTGTAGCCGGTTTTTAATTATCTACAGCAAAATTTTACTTGCCAAAAAAAAAAAAAATTTTACTTGCATGTGACATTAATGATATTGTTCAGTGACTTCTGCATTCCGTGGGGTCACCTCTCTTTGGAACAGGCATAAATATGGATCTCTTCCAATCAGTTGGCCAGGCATATATGAGTGAGCACCTTCAGTGCTGCATCAGTTTGTTGAAAGATTCGATTTATATCCTATCAATTCCTGGAGTTTTGGTTTTTGCACTGTTTAGTGCAGCTTGGTCTTCTTCCTTCAGTACCTTTGGTTTTTCATCTTACACAAGGGCATATACTTATTCTCAAATTCCAAGAATGCTTGAAATCCCACAAGTGCTGGTCAAGAGAATGAGAGTGGATTAAGCCTAATGAGTCCCTGGGTAGCACAAATGGTTAAGCTAATTGAAAAGTTGGTGGTTCAAATCTACCCAGAGATGCATAAGAAGTAAGACCTATAAATCTGCTTCTGAAAGGTCAGTCTTGAAAGCCCTACAGAATGCAGTTGTACTCTGCACACTCAGGGTCATCATGTATTGGAATCAACTTGATGGCAATTAACAGCAACAAGATGCACAATGAAGAATCCCTGAGTGGTGCAAAACTGGTTAACATGTTCAGCTGCTAACCAAAAGCAGGGAGGCTCAAGTGTGCTCAGAGCTACCCCTGAAGAAAGTCCTGTCAATCTACTTTACAAAGTCAGCCATTGGAAATCCCATAGAGGATAATTCTATATATGTATTGATATGTGCTACAAATATGTCCATGAGTATAGTACAGCCTAAAAGTGGCAAAATTAGAAAAACTTTTAGCCATAAGCAAATATCTTGATGAAATAAGTCTCTGGACCTAGGGGCTCAGGACCATAGTCTCAAGGGATACAAAAGTCAATTGGTATACACAGTGTACAAAGACAATGTTTTACGTTTTAATTTGGTTAAGTAGCAACTGGGGTCTTAAAAGCTTTTGAGTGGCCATCTAAGGTATAACTATTGGTCTCTCCTTGTCCAGAGCATAGAAAAGTGATGAAAATCAAAGATGCACGGAAACAGTTCAGTGGTCTAAGGGACCATGTGAACATCAGCCTCAGTGACTCTTGTTAATTGCCTTTGAGTCAGTTCCAACAGAAAGTCACCCTGGATCGAGGTTCCTGGGCTGTGGGGTTCTAAACCCATGGACCAAATAAAGCTGAGTGTGCATAATGTGCCCTTTGGGCATTTTCAGACTAGCTAATGGCTGGCTAAAGGAGCTTTGTAACACTTGCACTAGCAGGGCAGAAGCTGAAGGGTCACAGCTGAGATGTCCAAGACAAAGAGTGAGGTGTGCCTGCAGTACGGCCGAGAAGAGACTTTCCTGACTGGAGGACTGCTGCATCCTGGGTTGTTTCTGATCCTGACTTGTACCGTTCACTTCGCTAGTAAACCCCATAATCCTAAATATTGTCTGTGAGGTCTGTTTACTCACTGCAACAGATTATCGAACCCATATGCGAAGTAGAGTGCTCTGGGAAGGATTTTTGGTGTCAGAATAGGGTAAAGAAGGTTGTAGGGTAGAGGAGGCACGTCTGACCTCCATGCTACAGGAATTGGCTTTGCGCTGATTTTGAGTTTGGTTCTTCTTCCTCCTTGAAAAGTCAGAGGAAGTCAGACATGGTCTCTGCACCATTTTTGCATGGCATCACAGCAACACACAAGCCACCACAGTACAACAAACTGACAGATGAGTGGTGGAACTATTACTGTGTTATTATGTGGTGTCAAGTCAGTTCTGACTCACAGTGACCCTGTGTAGTTCCAAGGAGCAGCTAGTAAGTTTGAACTGCCAACCTTGTGATTAGCAGACCAGTGCTACTCCTACAGTGCCATACCATGTCTTAATGCTATTTTACACAGACTGGGTAAATGTCAACAAAGCAGCCTGTCTAAATCAGTCCCAAGAGAAGACACAGACGGCCCAGTGACAATGCAGCTAAACATTTGTATTTACTAACACAGAGGCTGACTGCTAAGATGGTTTTTACAGTTTACTTACAAAGTCAAAGACTACCAACAGGTTTTAAAATTAGAAAGGAAAAAAAGCAATGAGTAAAAATATAAAATGTATATTCATAAACCGCAGTAGGAATATATACTTGATCCTTTTAGGAATAGTGGAAAATGCAAATCTAAGTAACTGAGCAAAAATGATTTCAACTGAACGAAGCTCAAAAGTTAATACATACATAAGACTTGACAGGGAAGAGGCATTTTAAAACTACTGTCTGATGCATAATTAAGTCCTTATTTACAGAGTTCACATTTCTAAAAGTCCACTAAAAATTTGGAATTTTAAATCAAAAGCAGAAATTTTTGATAAATTTAATTTCAACTCTAGGTATGAATATGGGATCTGGAATTAGAGAAATCTAGGCCTGAATTCTAACTCTGCCATTTTCTAGCTACTAACTGAAATATCTTTTGATACATCATTTAATTACTGTAAGTCTCAGAACCCATATCTATAAAAAGGGAGTTTAAAAATTCGAATTCAACCCTTTTAGACCAGAAGAACCACCCAGCTACCACTGCTGCTGATTGCTCTGAAAGGGATCACGATAGAAGGTCCTTGGTTAGAGTAAGAGAAAAAATGTGGAACAAAATTATAAATCATTTTGAAAAACCAGGATTCCTGATCTGATAGTGGAACTCCTGAACCTATGACTCTCAGAACTCTTGTCAGGCCTGGAAACTGAACTCACCCCCATAGCTCAACTTTCAGCCAAAGGACAGATACCCAATCTTTAGAACTAATCAAACAAGATCAAAAGGGCAGCATTTGCCCAGGGATAAAGGAGCTCTGGTAGCATAGTGGTTATGAATCGGGCTGCGAACCGCTAGGTCAGGAGTTCTAAACTACCAGCTGTTCAGCGGGAGAAAGATGAGGCTTTCTGTTTCCGTAAGGATTTACAGCCTCGGAAACCCTGTGCAGGGTCACTTTGAGTCGCAACCGACTCCACGGCACATAACAACAACAACAAAGCTCAGAAGTCAGGAAGGGATAGGAAAAGGCAAATGGAAACTCGAAAAGGATGTAGGAATGGTGCTTTTACATTGTGGGGGGTTATGTCAATTCTACAACACAGAATGTATCTGAATTGTTGAATGGAAAACTATTGTGCTCTATAAACTTCCATCCATATCACAATAAAGTGTTTTTTTGTTTTGTTTTTTAAGAAATGGGCTTTGGTAGCATAGTGGCTATGAATCGCGAACCGCAAGTTCAGCAGTTCTAAACTACCAGCTGTTCCGCAGGAGAAAGATGAGGCTTTCTGCTCCCGTAAAGATTTACAGCCTCGGAAACCCTGCACAGGGTAGCTATGAGTCAGAACCGACTCCACGGTATATAACCACCAACCACCACCACTTAAAGGCATGAAATGACTGGCTTACAAGTTTTCAAGAGGGAGTTTAGTTTCAGAGTGTGTGGAGGTACGTAGAATCTCTACTGGATAGTTTTCATCTTGTCTGGTGAAAGGAGATGGGGATAAGATTCTTATAATTCAATAGTGAGTAATTGTTATCATGACTAATTGTAGTAATTGTTATCATGACTAATTGTGATTGTCACAACTGTAAAGGTAGAAGTTTTGTAACATAAAGAAGGGAGTAGTTAATCTTACATTCCAAGAACAGAGGACCCTAGGACCACCAAGGGAGAAGAGCATGAGCAGAATGTGGGATCCTATCCAGAGACGCAGAGACAACCAGAGATGGAGGCACAGATGACAACATCAAGAGATAGAGCAGCTAAGGACTCTAGGTTCTTGGAAAGAGAAAAGCTGTGTGCTGACAGCCAGGAGGCAGGCTTGCAGAATGTGTGGCCTTTGGTTGTTTAAATGATTATATATTCCTGAGTGTTTTTGTATACATCCAAAACAAAACAAGACAAAAAACCTAGAGGAATAGAAGCAAATACTGTTGAATGATGATGCTCAGAGGGGATTGTAGTCATTGTAATGAAATGAAACACAATAGAATGAGTGAAAAACTGATGTTCTCCCATGTAAACTACACTCAATTCACAATAAAAAAAAAAAACAAACACCACAAAACCTTAAAAACAAACAAAAAAGAAAACTCAATGGAGTACAGTTCTACACTGATACACATGGGTTGCCAGGGGTCAGAATCAACTGTACAGCAACTAGACTGGATGTACAATGAACACAGAAGATACTATAGTTGGATTCAATAGGAATGGGGTAAGGCCTAGAAATCTGCATTTAATAAGCACCTCAGGTGCTTCTAATGTCAGTAGTCAACAGACACAGTTGAACATCAGTAAAATAAACTTTTGATGAATGACCTGTTCTAATCCTAACCTTAACTACTGAAGAGCCCCCCATGGCATCAATATCCTGAAGGTATGGGCTCCTGTGCACGGTCTATGGTTTCACATGTTGTTAAGTGCTGTAAAGTAGGTTCCTACCCATAAGGGCCCCGTATAGGGTTTCTGAGGAGTAGCTGGTGAGCTTGAACCACCGACCTTGCAGTTCAAACCGATTTTGTAATCCAGCGCATTAACCCACAGTGCCACACCAGGACTCCTTGGTTTTACATGGTGGTGGTATATGCTGTGGAGTAGGTTCCGACTTAAGGCGAGCCTGTATAAGGTTTCTGAGGCTGTCAATCTTTATGGGAGCACAAAGCCTCATCTTTCTCCCACCGAATGGCTGGTAGTTTCAAACTGCTGACCTTGAGGTTAGCAGCCCAGCTCGTAACCACTGTGCTACATAGTGAGTAATAATGAACCAGTTTCTTGCTAAGCATTCTTGGAGAACGTACTCAATCCACTAGTTTTAAAACTATCTGTGGAGGATAAGGGAGAAAAAAATGATAAAAATGTTTTACAAATTATAATTTCTCAGGGGCTAGAGTTTAGTGTTTGCCTCTCCTTGACATCATATTGAAAATGGAAAGAGAAAAACAGTAATATCTAAGGGAGTTTTTATATCCCAACCTGCTTAATGTGACAGAAAAGCAGATATCAGTAACATGATTTTCCAGAAACCTCAGATACATTTTTCAGTGGCTCATGTCACTGAAATTCTCCAGACCTTAAAACAACAACAAAAATACTAACAACTTTTAGGCAATACCTCATAATGATCTTCTACTCAGTCTATACTGCTAGCTCTATATAGGGAAAATAGACAGTTAGGATTATTAACCTGAAATACTGAAACAGGACAGCAAATATTTATTGAGTACCTAATACTCTGTTGGTGTTCACTGAGACTATCCCAACTCATAGTGACCCTGTAATAGGGTTCTGAAGAGTGGCTGGTGAGTTTGAATCACCCACCTTGCAGTTCAAACCACTCCTATCTTGGTCTAGTGCTTTATCCTACAGCACCACACAAGGACGCTAAGACACTGTCAATATAAAGAATACTCTTCATTACACTCTGCTTAGTAAAGCAAATAAATAGACTGGTAGTTTTCAGAAAGACTTTTACAAGCATTAAAATGTAAAAATGTTACTACAACCTACATTTTATCTGAAATGTCACTCAACTAGCCATTATGCTTTACACAAGTAACGGTACATTTATGACACAGAGCGACTTATGCAACTGGGATAATATGCAAGACTTGTGATGTTTTTTGTAGTTCTTTTGTGTGTATTATTTTACCTGACCTTCAAAACTTTATTTAACATTCACTCATCCTTGTGTGGCGCTGAGGATAAGCACTATACTGCAATGTCAGTCAGTTTGAACTGCAAGGCCTGCGATTCAAACTCACCAGGCGCTCCTTGAAAACTCCAAACGGTCGCTATGAGTCAGAACTGACACCACGGCACTTCACAACAGTATCATCATTTATGGAACATCTGAACCAAGAGTCCTGGTGTGGTGCTGTGGGTTAATGTGCTGGACTGCAAAATCGGTTTGAACCGCACAGTCGGCAGTTCAATCTCACCAGCTGCTCCTCCAAAACCCTATACAAGCTCGCTATGAGTTGGAAGTGACTAGACTGCACTTAACAACAACAGGCATATTAATAGGTACCTGGTACTTGGATAGTCAAGTAATAGTCATGTCTTAGGAGCCGACAGCCTAACCACAAGTTAGGATTAAAAAAACAAAAAGTAAGCAATTACAACGCAGAACGAGGTTGCCATAAAATAAAAACAAGGTGTGCTTAACCTAACCAGCTAAGTAGTAGCTGACGTGACCGCTTCCCGGAGGAAATGACATTTAGGAAAGGATTCGAGAAGAATGAGGTTTCGGGAGGAAACGGGCAAGAAAGTATACCAAGTATACCAACAGGAAAGAAAGAAAGCAAAGATCAAAGACAAGAGAAAACAAGCTGTAGACAATGAGGGCTACACTTTAGGTCTTCCTTTCAAAGTCCCCAGTGGTGAAAACAAAAGGTTGGAGGTCTAGGTGCGTTAGGAGAAAGGCTAAGGAGCTCTGGTAGTGCAGTGGTTACGAATCGGGCTGCCAACCTCAGGTTGAGTAGTTCGAAAGTACCAACTGTTCCACGGGAGAAAGATGAGGCTTTCTGCTCCTGTAAAGATTTCTGGTAGCGTAGTAGTTACGAATCGGGCTGCGAACCTCAAGGTCAACAGTTCGAAACTACCAGCTGCTCCCGTAAAGATGAACAGCCTCGGAAACCCTGTGCAGGGTCGCTATGAGTCGGAACCGACTCCACGGCACATAACAACAACAACAAAGACTTACAGCCTCGGAAACCCTGTACAGGGTCGCTATGAGTCGGAACCGAGTCCACGGCACAGAACCACCAAGAGAAGGCCTGGCCAGCTACTTCTGAAAAAGCAGCCACTGAAAACCCTGTGAAACGGACAAGCTATGAAAACGGACACACAGGGGGATGTCATGTGTAGGGATTGACATATGGGCAAACCGTACTCTCTCGGACTCTTTCTAATACGAACTGGGGTCAGAAGCGATTGCGTCTTGCGTGGACTTGACGCTGTTCTTTTTCAAATTATCTACATGTGCATCATCTTCTGAGAGTCTCCAAAATTACGGCCCATACCACGCCGAATTTCCGCCTACCTTGGGCGCATCCCCAGCTCCCACCGGCACCACACCTACATTCCCCAGCTCAGTTCCAGCTCCACGCCCGAGCACCGCCATTTTGGCGGCTCACGTGACCCAGGTGGAGGGGGGGTGCGGGGGGGCCAGAACGCCTGGGGTGGGAAGTGGTGCTGGCCCACGCCTCTCGCGTTCTGCCTGGGTCCGCCCCTACCCAGTCAAAAGCCGCGCCCTCCTTCCTGTCTGTGATTGGTTGCAGTGTCTAGCAATTACGGCTGTTCATTGGCTTCGGTTAGGACCGACGGTAGTGGGCCCACCCCTCCGGTAGCCCTGCAGTCCGTGCCCCGGCCATTTGTCAGCGCAGCGTTCTCTTCCTCTGCCAACTTGAGGGGGAAGTGGGGCCACCCGAATGTGTGCTTGTTGCTGTGCGGCGTGCTCACCTCAGGGCTCCTTTAGCTGGGGTCAAGCTCCTTCCCCCTTTCGCTGTTTAAGGAATTAATATCCCTCTGGCCTGGCTCATGTGTTTTTGCTCCTGCATCTCGGGCACCTCCCTTTTAGAACCCCTACCGGCCACCCGGGGCCGCCAGAGTACCCTCCGACTAGCCTCCTCCCCTAGCAGCTGTCTTAGTTCTCTCTCCATTCTTCAGTCCCCTCATCGTCCATCCTCTCGCCCCGCGTGGAAAGGGGTCGGAGAGAAATTTTGTCGGCGTCCCCTTGCCCCCTTTTCAGCCGGTGTTTCGGGGCGGGGAGGGGCGCTTAGAGGAGGTCTGGCAATATCTCTTAGACCAGTAACCCCAGACCCTTCAGACTCCATGTCTTAGAGAAGCCAAATTCGAGAGTTATATAATTTCTAGTGCAGCTATTTCTCCTGCCGGAGACTCTTCATCGCGTGGAGGGTGCAGGACATTTCAGTGCTCTTCTATATAAGAACGGGGTGTGGGCAGGGGTGGCAGAGAGATTTATTGTCTTTTCTGCGAAAGAAAGGTGGGTAGTTTGGAGAGAGATTAAGAGAAAAGGGTGGATGTGGAAGCCTAGCTGCTGAACACCCATGTAGGAAATCGCGGACCGTTTGCATAGCGTACATGCCTATTATTACTACAGCGTCTCTGAAAACACCTTTGGGGGAAGGTTTGGCTTCTCTTCACCAACAGTCTGTTTTTCCTCGCCGGATAGGTAGCTATTTGGATGCGAAGAGGTGGCATGATGTGAATGATTCCAGTGTGAAGAAATCTGCTTCGCCAGCTCATCCTGCATCAAGTGCCCATTGAGTAGCGCTGTCACTTTAATGTGTCTATGCCAAGGGATTGCTTTCCTTCTTTTCAATCCTCTCGGTTAATACTTGGAAAGATCCGAATCAGAGGGGCATTAAAGAACAAGCCGGGGGGCTTGCAGAACACAGAAGAAAACAAAAATGAAAAAAGGAAAGTGACAGCAAGCTGGAACCTGTGTGTGACTGAGGGGGTGAGATCCCGAACTTCTGGCCCAGTAAATAGAAGGGGCCTTCCAGTCTGTGCTCTGCCCCAGAGAACTGTTCAAACTCACATACCTTTTCAGACACCAGGGTCAAGGAGGTGTACTTAAACTTTGTTTGTTTGTGAATTGCGGGTGAGGCTTAATTTCTATCTAAAGAATTGAGGATCTTCTTTATCATCACTGAAGTTGATCCTAAGTAGAATGAAACATCCGTCTAAATCTGGTTTGTGCCTTAATTGAACTTAATCATTGAACTTCCAAGATGTTGCTGCCGGAAGAGGAGTTTTAATAACATTTTCTATGTCTAAATACTTTGCTCAGTTTTTAAAACCAGAATAAATATTTTATGAAAATTGAAAAACTCCAAAGTTATTTTTCTCTAAACTTTGTGGGTGGGGTCAAAATTTTAATTGTGGGAAAAAATACATTACTTTTCTTCATGTGAAATAGAAGACTCAGGCTGGATTTGTAAACTGAGGGAACAGTGAAGTGGTTTGCAACAGTTACCTGGCTGTTGGCCTAAATCCTGCTGGATCAAGCGGAGACCTGAAAGATACCTCGAATCCTGTGGCTGTGAAAAGATCCAAGAATGCCAGTCAAGAAGAAAGGTGGGCAATGAGGCTTCCTATATAATATTTGCACACCCCCACCCTTTTTTTCTTTTTTTGGTTCAGGTATTTGTAATTTCAGTTGTATTCTATTTGATGGTAAAATTTTGGTTTGGGGAGATACTTATGGTGATAATGTTTATTCAGTGGTATATTGTTTTGCTAGAGTCAAAGTAGGTATTTAATTTTATTTTGCTAAAGTAAAATTAAGTATTTAATTTGGAGCCAACTCGAAGACAACTAACAACAAAGCATTTAATTGTAGATATTTGTGATTTCATTAATCGGATTGTCTCAACCACCCTTTATAATGAAAATATATTCAGTGCCACAGATTTGGGATTTTCTTTAGCTTGTTTTCTTGGCTTGTTAAAGGGTACTTTTAACCAATCTTAAAAACAAGACGAAACAATCCCAAAACCCATACAGCAGAACTTGTCTCCCTGGATTTAATATTTATCAAGATAATTACATAGTTGTAAAAGGTAGCAAAGTAATTTTGTTTGCTCTCAACATACTTGGAGACTTACAACTTATCTTTTGATTAAAAATTTGAGAATAAATTTCGTATTTGTCTTTAGTGTAAATCTTCACTTTTGTAAAATGCAACTTTGGTAACTTGTATCTTTCTAGATGTGTCTATTATTTAACAAAATTGGCAAATTCCCCAAATGAGACAAGCACTCCTACCCCCTCACCCTCTTCTCCACTTTTATAGCCTAGAATTGCTCTGGATCCAGTGGGTTCCTGAAGTACAGTCTATTATGGTTCAGAGCATGGGGATCCATGTTAGCCTTGATCTGCCCCATGTTAACTTTGCTCCTAAGTTTCTTAGTGAAACCAGTTTTTGTTTTTTATATGATATGGAAGATCAGAGCAACTGTAAAAAATTATTTCAAGAGTTTTGAATCATATTTATTTGGATACCTTTGAATTCTACTATATTTGAGTAAGATCTAAATGTTGGCCAGCTATGGGAGTTGATGGAATCTGAAAATAAAGTTCTGGATGAACTATAAAGTTCCTGGATCCTGAGGATTGTAAAACCAAGATAGTGCAACCTGGCCCTGACAGGTGTTAAATCTTTCTACCTGTGGGTTTGGAAGGTAAATTGAGAAAAGCTGTACTCAATAAGATATTCATCCCAGCTACTATCTGGTCAAGGTCGGTGGTTCAAACTGACCAGGTGCTCCTTGGAAACCCTATACAGGGTTGCTATGGGTCGGAATCAATTTCACAGCACTTAACAACAACAACAGCTATCTATCTGTAGAATTGAAAAATGATGCATAAACCTTGACAATACCTAGAACTAACCCATTCTTTGCACACTGGGAATTAAGACTGTGATTATCCAACTCACCTCCAAACCAACCCAGACTTCCCCACACTGATATTATCACCAAGAAAAATATCCTCTCTGTGAGATACTGGATTCCTGGTGTGGTACTGTAGCATAAGCACGGGGCTGCTAACTGCAAGGTTAGTGGTTCAAATCCACCAGTCGATCCTCGGAAACTATACAGGGTTGCTGTGAGTCTGAACCAACTTGAGTGCTTTTAACTGCAATGAGATCTTGGAGGCACACTTGGCATAGCTTAGCTGGCATGGTTTTAGGAATGTAGCCCGTAAATGATAGGCTCTTGGCGTTATTTAGTTTGCTGTGGAGTCCTTGCTTTAAATTCTTCCCATCAATTATAGTTCTATAGACTGTCATTTTTGGACTACCTTATTTTGTACTAGTAATTGAATCAACTGCAATGTGAATGTTTGTGTATGTGTGAGAAAGAGAGAGACAGAGAGAAAAACAGAGAAAGAAGGAAAAAGAGGCAGAGAGAGAAAAAGAGAAGTGAACAGAGGAGAGAGAGAAAGGGAAAAGAGTTAAGTGGAGAGGAGGAGGGAGAAGGGTAGTGGATGATGGTCTGTTGTTGTTAAGTGTGGTCAAGGTGGTTCTGATTCTTAGTGACCCTGTATAGGGTTTTAAAGGAGCAGCTGGTGGGTTTGAACTGCTGACCTTGTGGTTGGCAGTTCAGTGCTTATCCTACTACGTATGACTTATGAAGAAGAATGAACTTAAGGCTTCTATACCTAATAGACTGTGCTTCGTAAAAGTTCCTATCTTTAAAGGCACTGCTATAAAATTTATGAGTTACTGAAAATTATAAAACTTTATGATAAATAATTTAATGTTTGTTCCCTCCCCCTTCCTTCCTTCTTTTTTGTGCCCACTTCCTCACCTTCTCCTCTCTCCTTCCTTTTTTTCTGTCTCTTTTCTTTAAAAGTGAATTGATTGTAATGGATCAATATTTTAGTGAATGAACAAGTTCTAATTTGCAAAGTAAGTAATATTTTCATTATACTAAGGAGCTCTGGTAGCATAGTGGTTACCAATCGGGCTACGAACCTTAAGGCCAGCAGTTGGAAACTACCAGCTGTTCCACGGGAGACAGATGAGGCTTTCTCCTCCCATAAAGATTTATAGCCTCGGAAACCCTGTACAGGGTCTCTATGGGTCGGAAACGACTCGACAGCACTTAACAACAACAACAAAGTTTATATGTTATATAATTTATTTTGTGAGCTGATCTAGCTTGAGAAACATACTATCATACTTTTAGTATCTTAAAACTCTTAGGATTAAGATATATTTGTATAAGGTAACTTTTAAAAGTTAGTGAAAAAATTCCATTTTTTTTTTTTTTTTTTTTACTTTTATGTGCATTTTATTTTAAGCTTAATTTACTCCCGAGCCATAAATTTTTGTTTCTTTAGTGTCTTCTGAGATATCTTTTTCTTCTGTGCAACCTCCTCTTCTGGTTTAGGAACAATTTGTTCCTTTTCAGTGAGGATTATCTCAGTATGGCAGGGGGAACTCATGTATGGGTTGATCTGACCATGAGCTCTGTAAGTTCGGTGGCGCATCTTGGGAGCTTTGTTGACCTGGATATGGTCAATGACCAGAGAATCCACATCTAAACCTTTCAGTTCAGCATTTCTCTCTGCGTTTTTAAGCATGTGCAG